TGACGGACAAGCGTAAAATTAAGGTGAGACAAAGTAGATCGCGGGAGAAAACGAATCGCGTCAGGCGGCACAGTTGAACGCGGACCCCGAACATGGGATTCTCCAGCTTATATACCGTTCTTCCTGCAATTGCTATCATGAGTTACAATCTCCGACAACGGGGATTGAGAATGTACCGCATGGGAATGGAAGACGAAACTGACCATCGTAGATCACATCTATGGTGGAAGAAGTGGCGGGAGGATTGGTAGGTTGGGAACGAGGGAGTCGGACTCCTGTCGGAGATCCAATCTCCGCTGGGAACGTCGATTCCCGACGTAGCGGCGGAGTGTCATCGAAAGATCACACATCAATTTTTGTTTGTTTTATTTAATTTTTTTCTGAAGGTTTATGGTTTGGAATGGGGGTAGGGGAGCAAGGCGAGGGATTGCCTTTACAGTAACACGTGAGTGGGGAACGTTATCCTAAATTTTCAGCTTCCTAGCTTTTGTGGTTCACGAGTTGAAAGTTACGGACAAGTTGCTGCCGACATACACAAACCCCGTGACAATATGTGTTTTGTACTGCTGCTACACAGCACAAAACGCATAGAAACCGTTAACACTGCTTGGTTAAGGCAGACTTCATTTCCAGGATGCGCACTGCTAGTCTCCAGGATGCGCATCGCCCATGGAAACTGCAACAGCCATGCACCTATTTTCAGTCGCAAATATGTATTACTTTCCGTTTAATGAACTTTTTAGGCTCATGGTGGAATTTCGGACTACCAAGATCGAAATGATCTCTTTCATTGGCAGTCCGGTAAAACACCTGTATGTTTAATTGAGGCTACACATGAAAAAGGTATAATACGATTAAGGGCAGAATTCCTAGGGGTTATGAAAAATGGACCAACGTCAGGGCCAAACTATCAGTCAAAATCACAGAACTTATCGAGCAGTTCAAGAATGAAGCGGCGTGTTATAAAGAGGTGCATCAATATTAATTCGGCGACAAAATGAGCTGTGGGAGTGCTTTCGACGTCGAAAAAATGTGACAGTACATCGTCACTACCTCTAACCAGTCCACATGTATAAAATAACAGCATCCATGCTCTCAGTACAATTCGTTTAGGAATTCCATTAGCGGCAGTTGTTTAGAAAGAACCAATAGATCAAGACAAAGTTTGGCGTCTTCGCCTACAGTTTTAATTGCATTCATTTTTGCAACGATATTATTCAGGAGACGGCGGATGTGGGAGATGTCGCATCAAATCGCTTGAAGAAGTTGAAAATTGATGATAACGGCGATCATCCCGAAGAAAATCGCACATTGAACAAGAAGATAGAAAAG